ATGATCGTAACACTCCAGACCTCCACCGACCCCAGACCAGGTACCAGCAGCCAAAAAAAAATAAAATTAAATTAAAAAATCAGAATATCCCAAGAGTCTGCCACTCAATGCAAACAAAGGAGAAGGTATTAAGCAGGAGTGTGACACAATCTACTGTAAAAGAACAAGATTGGACTGAAAAAAGGCTGATTACATTGAGTAAACCACAAAGAATATTGTGACCTTAAGTAGGGCAGTGGAAATGGGGATGGAAAGAAGGTAATGACTCTGAGAAAGCTCCGGGAGTAAGACTCAACAGGATTTGGCAATTGATTGGTTATGGCCAGATAAAGGAATCAAGGATGATTCTCAGGTTTCTGACAGAACTGAGTTGCCATCTGAGGGAATGGTGGAGGTCTAGTGTTGAGAGAAAGATAAGCCTTGAGCTTTTAGGCGCCTATGGCCACGTAGGTGGGGACTGAGACTGGGAGCTGGATGTGAAGGTTTGGAGTTCAGATGGCAGATGGAACAGTGTCTTTTCTCCAGTGGGATCTCTGCTGCCATGTCAGTTTCCATTTCTCAGTTGCAGAAAAGATGATAAGACATCAGCATACAGAGGGTACCTGAAGCTATGGCAAAAGATGAGATCACTCTGATAAGTGTGAGTGTGCAGAATAAAAAGGAAAAACAGCTAGGACAGAGATAAAAGAATTACCAATATTTAAGAAACAAAATGTAAGAAAAAGGAAAAAAGCATCCACATACAACACTGGGAAGGAAAAGCCAGAGGAAAGGGAGACAGAAAAGTAAAGATATAGCGCATTTCAAGAAGGATGAAGTGGTCAATTCGGCTGAATGATGCCAAGAAGTCCTAACCTTTTGTCTATATCCTACACTTCCCCCAAAACACACACACAGGGCAGTCCCTGTCCCAGTTCCCTCCCAGGTGTGTGGTTCCATCACTATGGGACTTCACTCCAGGTGCCTGTAGCTCTTCAATAGTGTTGGCCACTTGACTGCAGCCCTGAGGCACTTCAATAGTCCCCACTGAGTTTATGTCCCCCAAATAAAACTGAGCAATCTGAACAAATATCTTTTGATCTCCACTTTCTAAAACCTGAAGTGTTCCAGGTCACAACTGCACAGGCACCATCAGAAAGGTATAGTATGCACCCTCAAGAGGAAGGCAGCCCAGCATTGACACTTTCAATTCCAGAGCTGAGGCTGAGCTAGGTGAGGGTCCTTGCAGCAGGCTCTGAGCAGCCCTAGTGGAGCAGAGTCTGATTATATGGATCCTCTCCAAAGGTCCTCTTCCCAGACTGCACTGCGGGCCAGGCCTTCCTTTGTGTCAGCTCTTCCCTACCCCTCCATTCTCACTCTTAACCCTACCCTTCTCTCTTCCTGATCTGCCCCTCTTCTTAGACTCACAGGCCACTGGGAAAGACTCTGGTCTAGCTTTTCGGCCACTCAGTGCTGTTCAGTTGGTGAATCCAGATCTTTAAGCTGAAGGCTAAAATCTGAGTTCCTTAATGGTGGCCCCTCCCCAATCTACACCAGCCCTACTCTCCCACCACGCCAAAGATGGAACCCCTTTATAGAGACATCCCTGCCTGTGTAAGAAGAGAAGAGAGAAAGCTGGTGAAAGAGCATTAAACCCCATTAAGAGCTTCAGGTAGTGAACGCAAGCTACCAGGGACCAATGCCAGAACAAGTGTTGTATCTTAAACATGTTTAGAAAGAAAATTAAATCAGCACTCAACTAAATTAACACCCGCCTAAGCAGGATCTGTGACTACAGGATCCAAGCCCACACAAACCTGAAGTATCAACTCATCCTATTTTGACAAAAGATGGACACAAAATGATTTTGTCAGGATGGGAGATTTCTTTTCTCCGGTGGGATTTCTGCTGCCACTTCAGTTCCCATTTCTCAGTGCTTCACTAATCAGGCCCTTTCCAACAAAAGTGACATGAAGCTGGCTGGGGGAAGCGGGGGCTGGGAGAGAGGGAGGACAGCAATGCGGAGCCATGTCTCTCGGAAACTAGAGTGGGAAATGGAAATATTTGCTGAATTCCTTAGCGTTAGTTAAATCTGAAAATGGATGTCAAAATAAGAAGTAAGCCACATACTAACAAGTTGTGGGTGTCAGTCTAACACCACCCTTGTCAGGCTCATCATCAGCCTTTACCAGGCGCATGAAAAGGTGCGGGCTCTGACGAGCCATCTGACGAGGTTCCAGGAATGCCGATAAGCTGTGCGCTGTCACGCAGCACTACTTAGGTTTCCTCTCTCGCTGTTTTTATTTTGTTACACATTTAATTAAGAGCCTTGCCAGCAGTTACTCGGAATCCTGCTTCTAAAAGGCAGCACAGTGCTCTCCTCCCCCCAGGCCCTGGCACCTGACATCTGCTTCCTCCTGCACAATCTTCAGAGCTTCACTGGCTTTCCCAGTCCAAACCCAAACCAGTGCCCCCAGTCTACCTAACCCCTTTTTTCTTTTTGGACGTTATACGGTCTCAGAATTCAATTCTATCTAGCTGTGAGTCTTTACCAATTTGAGCCTCAGTTTTTAATTTTGTTTTGTGTGTTCATTTCAGCTTTAAAGTGATACTACCTCCTACCAAGGAAGATAGGAGGACCGAATGACATATGGCTATGTACTCATAAAAAAGTGGTTCCCTTTCATATATGCTTAGATTGAACAACCCAATCCCCAAACTAGATCACATCTTCTTGATTACATCATTGCTTGTAAAGCCCCAGAGCAGCCTCTGGAGTCACCTGAATCTGCCAGGGCCCACCATGCCAATGGCTGAACTGCTACTGCAGGCCGAAGTGGGCCAGACTTCACGCCCAGGAGGCCCAGCCATGTAGTCCCCTACCTCATGCCCAGGAATGTTTTCATATGCACATATAGGATGGGGCAAAAGTAGCTGTTCATACTGCGAGAACATGAGACACAGAGTTTGTTCTTATATTGTTACTAATTACAGTTTTATTTCCCACACAAACAGCTGTAAACCTACTTTTGCCCCACCCTATGTATGTACATGCCAGTCACAATCAACACAAGAGATTCTGAAATGTGGGTTGTATGACATGAACATGCCAAAGACAAGTAGAAAACCACTAAAAGAGTGGGAGCCCTGGGAGGCTACCTGGAGGAACCAGGCCTCTGGACTGGACCACAGGAGCCTCAGTCCAGTATTAGCCTGCACTCTGCCCGACCCCAAATAGCTTCTCCTGTGCTATGGAGCTCCACGCAAGTCCTTCTCTCCTTCAAGTGCTCAAAGCTGCCAGGATACCTTAAACAAGAACAACAGCCTTCCTCTTCCTTTCTCCATGGAGCCCGCCTACGATTCATACCAGCCCAGCCTGTATAATTGCCCTGACTGATGAGTGTTATCGGGGAGCACAGAGATCCCCTGGCGCTGTGGGAGCTGTGTGTGCACACCTGGAGTGTGAAGCCAGTGTGTGTACATGACCCAAGGGATGTGGGAGATGAGGTGTGTGGGTGTTTATGTGACCTGGGCTTGTTCTTCTTCCTCCTGTCTCACCTAGAGAGTTGGTATCCAATTGCAGGCCTGACACCCATCAAGCTGGGTGCATAGCTTTGCCCAGTATCCAAAAGGCATAAAAAGGACCTTGGTGAGAAAACAATGCCTGATTTGGTAGGAAATATCACTCCAGAACCACTATTTCCAACTCCCCACCAATATCCCATGCTATGCTCAAAAGCATAGGTGCATGCGTGTGTATGCTCATATATAAACTCTCTCTCTCTCTCTCTCTCTCTCTCTCTCTCTCTCTCTCTCTCTCTCTCTCACACACACACACACACACACACACACACACACCAATATCCCATGCTATGCTCAAAAGCATAGGTGCATGCGTGTGTATGCTCATATATAAACTCACACTCTCTCTCTCTCTCTCTCTCTCTCTCTCTCACACACACACACACACACACACACACAAATGCTTGCCACCTCCATCAGTCACAAAGAACACAGAGTTATTGATTCTATCAGTCCTCAGCAAACAATGCCCCTACCACCTCCACACCACATTAATTCCCTGAGGGCTGTCTGAAGCCAGGTATCCATGAGGACAGACAAGAGTCAGAAGTGTCAGCCCAGCAAAGGAACCAGTTTTGTCTTCCAGAATCAGGAGACAAAGGAGAAAAAGCAATGGGACAAAGGAGAACAGAGGAGACTGGTGACTAGAAGCAGCCCTCTCTCATTCTACACTTGGCTCTCAGTTGGATCATCAGGGCCTATCCCAGATAAGGGGTGGGGGGGAAGGCAGGGAGAGCCCGGGGTGTGTGTGTGTGTGGGGGGGGGGGGGAAGGATAACACAGTATAATAGTTAAGAGAAAGGGCCCTGGAGATAGGTTGCCTGGTTTGAATCCTGCCCCTGAGTGTCTTGGGCTAGTTAGTTTACCTCTTTTTTCTCTTATCTTCTTATCTATAAAAATAGAAATAAGAGTACCTATGGTTATAAAATGAGTTACTATTCCCTCTTTGTTTTTGTTTTTTTTAATATATATTGATTTTTTACAGAGAGGAAGATAGAGGGATAGAGAGTTAGAAACATCGATGAGAGAGAATCATCGATCAGCTGCCTCTTTCACACCCCCTACTGGGGATGTGCCCGCAACCAAGGTACATGCCCTTGATCGGAATCGAACCCAGGACTTTTCAGTGCGCAGGCTGACGCTCTATCCACTGAACAAAACCAGTTTCGGCTTTACATTCCCTCTTTTAACTTCTTCCTCCCAGGGCAATGACATGTAGCCCTGCATCTGAAGGGCTGTCCTAAGTAGTGACACCTGGCAAAAACAGCTGTCCCAGAGGCAGGCAGGGCTCTCAAGCCTCTTCTTATCCTGGAAGCCCCCCAAATCCAGGGACTCCTGGTCCAGCTATCCTATAGGTTTGGGCATTTATTTCTGTGAAAGGCAAGAACTGGTCCCACAGATTCAAAACCCTGCCAGCAAAGTTGCCCCTCTCATACTCACATGATTTTTAAGTCCCAGTCTCCACAGGTGACAAAAATGGACTTGACGTTTGGATCTAAGAGGCCTTCCTTCGCCATCCACTCATCGACCCTCTGAAAAGTACACAACAAGAATAGATGAGATTTTTCTTTCCCCCACCGCCACTGAGTACATGAAGAGCCACAACAGTGAAACGCAGATAAGCTGCTGGTAATCAGAGCAGGAGGAAATTGTAATCTTATCCAGCCATGGCTCTGCTCTGGGCTCTCAGCCTTGGCTGAGAACTACAGAGGCACTTGCAGGACAATCCCTGTGGGAAGATCCCACAAGACAAGAGTGTTTGGGATGAGGGTAAGAGGGTTCCCCACACCCCTGTTACTTACCCTAGACAGGATAAGGAGAGATCCTAGCAGGTCAATCCAAATACCTTTGGTCCTCAGAGGCAGAGTCTAGCATGGACATGGGCTGTCCTGGGCCATGAGAACGGGCTGGATCCCCAAGCAGGGACTCAACCCATAGGTTCATTCATTCGCTTATTCACTTGACCCTCCCACCAAATGTTTATTAACCAAACTTATGAATTTGGTTATTCCCCAAGTGAAAGTGAAGTTAATTTCCACCATGACTCTAGCAGAAGAAGCCCCTTTGTTGGGCGGGAGCAAGCTCATAATCAGCCCCAAACTTGGTATTTCTCCTCTCCTCGTTGATGATTAAAATTCAGCAGATTCTTTTGAAGGCTGAGCACAATTCCTAGGTAGGGAAAGAAATTGCTCCTAAACACACTTTGAGTCTAGTTCTCCCTTCATCCCTTTCATGGTTTTATTATTTGCACTCACAATGGAAGTACAAATACTAAAATCAGTGTATAATGACAGAATTATTATCAAGAATTCATGAAGCATCGCCTATTTTTCAGATGATCCCAGGCATGGGCAGCAGATCATACCACCACTCCACTCACATAGGAGGATTGTTTTTAAAGGCTATATGGCATAGTAGTCAGAAATGCAGAATTGAAAGTCAGACACATATGGGTTCTAACCTTGGCTCTTCAATATCTTGGCTGTCATTGATGGGGAGTCATTTAAAAGTCATTTAACCCCTCTGAACTTCAGTTCCCTTCGTCTGTAAAATGAGGTAGGATGACTCCCCTTACAGATTGTTTTGAGAATTAAATGCAATAATGTATTTAAGTGCTTATACAAAATAGACAGTAGACTAAGAAGGGGAGAGAGGCAGATCATCATAACACAATGTAATAGATGCATTAATAAAAAAGTGACCAGAATGCTACAGGACCAAATGGAGGAAGTGGCTAGCTCTACCATTTATAGAGAAAGGAGTCAGAAAGGTTTCAGAAAGAAGATAATGAGCCTGGCCAGTGTGACTAAGTGGTTAAGCACTGATCCATGTACCAAGAGGTCACTGGTTCGATTCCTGGTCAGGGCACATGCCCGGGTTGCAGGCTCGATCCCCAGTAGAAGGCATGCAGGAGGCAGCCAATCAATGATGTTTCTCTCTCATTGATGTTTCTATCTCTCTATCCCTTTTCCTTCCTTCCTCTCTCTCTAAAAAAAAAAAAAAAAAAAAAAAAAAAATTTAAAAGAAGGTACTTGAATTAGAAGTTGGGTTTGCTTGACAGGGTGGAACGGAGAAAAGAATACTAAAGATAAAGGCACATGCCCAATCATTGTGTATTTGAGAAGCAATTATCTGTTTAATGTCAGCCTTCCTTACCAGACTATAAGCACCATGAAGGCAGGGACTCTTATCTGTCTTATTCACTGCGGTAATCTCTAACCCATATATTTTCGGATTGAATATGAGTAGGGAGTAATGTGACCCCAGCCCACAGTGCATGGAAAGAAGGAACAGGAATTGAGGCGGGATGCTAGGTTAAGGACAGACCCCCCTCCAGCTACCCAAGGTCTAAAGCACATGTGTCAAACACAAGGCCCGTGGGCCAAATCCGTCCCGCCAGGCCTTGCAATGTGGCCTGCACCGCGCTGTCATCACTGCACTCCGCTGCGTTTCCATCACAATGACAGTTTATGACTGTTCAGTAAACCATTCGGCCCGTGATTTAGGCTGGATTTTAGATTTTGGCCCCTTCTCTGATTGAGTTCGACACCCCTAGTCTAAAGGAACCCAGCCTGAGCCTACTTAGAACACCTAAGTCAGATGGACAGATGGATGGGTTGATGGGTAGATTATGGATGGGTAAATAGATGAGTGGATGGGCGGGGCATGAATGTGTGGATGGCTATGTGGATGGATGGGTTTTCAGGAGCCTAGAAAGTTCATCCACTGGCCCTGTCTTGGGATGAGGGAATGACCACCATTCACTCCTGTATCCTCTCTCTCCCTGCTGGCTCTAATGGCTCTAGGCTGGACAAGAGAGGTGGAAAGAGGCCAAATGAACTAAGTAAAAAATAAAAATAAAAAGAACAAATGAGGCAGGCAAACACCTAGCTAACTACCTGCTTAGGGCCTGGGTAAGAGAAAAAATTAGCTCTTTAGCTCTATAATCTGGTCTAGTCTCCTTATCTGGACTCCCTATTCAGGCTGATGCCAGAAATCTTCCCTCTTCCCCACAAAGTGTGAAGTAGCAAGAGCAGCTTCCTGGGGGAGACTTAGAATCCTCTGAGCATTCTTCTCCAGGGCTGGCCTCCTGAAGACACATCTTCCCCTCAACTGGCACCACTGACAGAAAAAATTATCTTAACCCCACCAGTCCTGGTTTGGTACTAGCCCAGAACAAGCATCTTCCTCCCAAGACCCCAACCAAACAGGGACGTCCCAGGGACAAGCTGCCTGTGTTATACCCTCCCTCGGGAGCAGGCCCTATCTGGGGATGCAGGCTATGACAGAAGGAAGGAGAGGTCCCTTCTTTCTCCTTGAGCCTGGGAGCAGTCCATGATGAGGAGGCCCCTCAGACATAAGAGTGAATCTTCTGTCAAAAAAAGAGGAACAAACCCTCGATAGTTTTGCTCAGTCGATAGAGATTTGGCCTGTGGACTGAAGGGTCCAGAGTTCAATTCTAGTCAAGGGCACATTCCTGGGTTGCAGGCTTGATCTCCAGTAGGTGGTGTGCAGTAGGCAACCAATTAATGATTCTCTCTCTTCATTGATATTTCTCTCTCTCTCCCTTTCTCTTTGAAATCAATAAAAAATATGCTTAAAAATTGTTAAAAAGAGGGACAATAGGGTTGGGAGGCACCTCAGAGCTCATCTTCTCATAGCCTTCTTTAGGTACCCTAAGCCTCTCCTTGCCCAGAGCCTGATGGTCAGAGCCTGGGCTTGCACACTGTCGGGGACAAAAAGCACTCTGCCACTGGCTAAGCCAAAACCTGGCTCTCTGGCTCTGGTTCCATCCTGCGGAGCTCAGGAAATTCAGTCTGCCCTTCTCTCCCCCGTGGGACAGGTCTTCTTGGCTAAATAGACAGCTCTTCCTCCCTCTCCTGCCACCACCCTCCTGCCTCTATGCTAACTACCTCCAATGCAGATGTGCCCTGCTCTTCCCCACATAGTCTGCTTTCTCCTGTGCTTTGATAGGGGCTCAGCTTTGAGTGCTTTGGTCTTAAAGATAAATAAAGCACCTAGGGAAATCTTCTCCCTGCTCCCTAGAGAGAAGGGAGTGGGTGTGGGACCTGGGAGAGGGACCGTCTCCCTCTCTGAAAACCCCTAGGCAGAGGGGAGCTGGGAGACAAGCTGAGGCAGAGCACTGCCCTTCCTCCTTCCCTTAGGCTGGAGCACAAGAAGCGGCATCCTAACCTTTTCCAGCTCCCCGAGGAGAACATCCTAGAAGTGTGGTCTCTGCCAAGGGTTCTAAAGCCTTTAATTTGATTTTCCTCACACAAGCAATTGTTGTAATTATTCTGATTAGGAATCATTACCCAGTACAGCCTCTGCACCCGACAAGCACAATGCGTCCAGCAGCAAGCTGCAGTGGGGCAGGCGGGCCCAGCCGCACCTCCTGGAGGAGCCGACAGCAAACAAAAGCCATCGATGGGGAGTTCTGGGTGAGTTAATGAAGTGCTCACATGCCACAAGAAGCCAACGCTAAAGCTAAACAAAAACACCTCTAGTCCCCGGGGCCAGTCCCACAGTGCCACAGCTCAGCCCCCCTCCAACCCAACGTGCCCAGCGCAGGCCGGCCAGTACTGGCCAGCACTGGAAAGGGTGGGGGCTCTTTGCCAGCCTCCTGGCAACACTCGGACATCTTGTCAGTAACCCTGACGGGAACAGCTGGAGATGACAGATCAATGGTTCAATACCCTCAACAGCATGTCACTGATGTGACAGCAAATGTTATTCTAATCAAGCCATAATCATAGTCAAATTACACAGCCACATTCTCAGGAGGGGCGGGAGAGAAAGGCAGCGGGAAGAGATCAGAGGTCAGGAATTAAAGGTCATTCAACCTACCTCCAACACTTGCTGCAGGCTTGGCTGACCGTCCACCATGGCTTGAATAATCCCGGTGAGCTGAAAGGAAAGAGAAAGAGCCCATGAATGAAAAACTCGAAGCTAGAGTTTCTGTTTTTCCTTTTCTTCCTGTTTTTATCCTCCTACTGTAAAGAACTCTGCCCTGCACTGCTTTAGGCTGAGAACCTGGCAGAAGCTTTGGGAATCAAGCCCCAGGACACACCGTAAACTTCCCAACAATATCCTGGCCCTGAAATAGATCCACATCTCCCTGCTGATCACAAGGTATGTCTCATACCTGTTTCAGCTTTCATTTGCAAGAGGAAAAAAAAGAAAAAAGATTTTACATGTCTTTTGTGTTCTATAGGCTCAATGACTCCTCACTAATTTCAGTCTAAAGTAAATCACCTCCAAGCTTCACAGAAGCTTCTGTCAGACTTAGGCAATAATCACATAGGACAGGCACACTTGGTTTCAAGTCCACCCCTTCTCTGGGCCTCGATGTCCAGCATTTCCCCATCTAACAGCAGTGGAGGTCCCACAAGCTCCACCCTTCACCCTGTGTACCTGGAGCCTCAATACCAACTAGCCAAGCAGGAAACAGGCACCTTTAACTGATGGGGAAACTCAGGCAAAAAGGCCTAAGGTACAAACCTGGTCTAGAGAACTTCTGACTCACGGGACTATGCTCACCGAGGGCAGGCTTAGGTTAAAACGAGCTTACTGCTTTGTTTTGTTGTGTTTTGTTTTGTAGTAAAACAAAAAACAAAAAACCCTCAAGCGCAGACTAGAACATATCACCTCAAGGACGTGAGGCAGAAGGTCTGCATCCACAGAACAGGACTCAGCTGGAAATCACCATGCCCACTGTGCCCCTGGCTACTTCCAGAGACAGGAGCATCGAAGGTTTGCTTGGATACTTCTTTTTATTTTTCTTTAAGTGTTGGGGGTGCAGATTAAACTCCAATTAAACTATAATTACATTTAATGAATACCAAATACCCAACTCACAGAAACCGCTGGCACTAAGAGGGAAGGTTATTTTCTCACAGTGACTTACACGGAATGGTAATACACACCTTTCAGGGAAGAAATTTTCATTTTAAGAACGCTGAGTTCCTCTAGGTGGGTTTCTGTAGTTCATCAAGTCATTATTAGGTGGTATTTTAAGGAAGTGTAAGGACACAGCCACTCTATTTTATATTCCAGAAACTGTTTTTATATTAATCTGTATTTTAATTGGGTAACAGCTGCTGCCTACAGACTTCCCATGGTCTAAAAGGAAAATAAATTAGAAAGATTAACTACACTGTTGTTTCAAAAGGCTTTAACCCACAGCATGCCCACCCGGCTGGCACCTCCACACCCTTTCCTTGCTTGAGAGACCAGAGAATTGCCCAGCAGAGGGAGGGCTGAGCCAAGGAGAAGAACAGATGGTCTACTGAGGGCTGGGGGCAGGGAGGAGACGAGCCAGGGTCAGCAGCTTTAATCCTGGAGTGCTAAGACTCCTCTGATTTAGTCAACGACTATTCATGGAGAGCCTACACTGCGCTGGCCCCATTCTAGGAACTAGGGAGTCAGCAGAAGAGGAAAACATGAAAGCCTTCACTGGATCTGTGTTCTTTTTGGCAGCCCTTTCCTATGCCCAGCCCCGATACCACCCAAAGCATGTACACCTTCCAGAGCCACACACTGAGCAGGCAGTTGCCATGTTTTACCTCGGCATACAGGGGCCAGAGTCCAGAGTAGTCCTGTTACCAACTCCAGTTCCATATCCAGATGACCGCCTACTGCCCATGTACCCACCACTGCCCTTCCTGGCCCAGCTTCTCTCCTGCTTAGTTCTTCCAGGACCGAGCTCCATCCCCAAACTTAGAGCTCTGGGTCAGGACTCTCCTGGGAGAGGGCCCACAGCCATTCTTACTTCTTGGAAAGCTGCAGGGTCTGCGGGCCAGTCTCATTTCTGGTCTGAGTTTCTGGGACAAGGGAGGGCTACTCCTTCTCTTGGCTCCCACCAAGGGTCACTCAGATGAGCTCAATGCCAAAAGGCTTCCGGACACACAGGAAACCAATGGCACCCTTGCCAAGAACCCTCCCTCCTTGGAGATGGAACTTGGGTCAGCATCTGTGTACCCCAGAAGCATTTGCTCTGGGCCCTAGGAAAACCCCTGGCTTGGGAGAGAAAAATCACTCTACCAAAAAGGAAAACCAGGCGCTGCTCTGAGGGAGCTTCTACAGATTAGGCCCACCTCTTTCCACCGTGGAGGTGGGGGAGGGGGCTCTAGGATTCTGGGGCTTTCTCAAACTCTCTCCAGTGGTCAGTGATCCTAGAATTACCAGTTTGAGAAGAACCTAGTAAGCTTAACTCCCTCTGTCTTGATGCTTCCCATACCACACTTGTGGTCCAGCAAGACAGCTTACAGCTGACTTCCCAAAGGACTTGGCTCAGCCCCAGAGACTCAGAGGCTTGAGCTCTAGGTTCAACTAGAGGCAGTCTTCCAGGGGGAGGCCTCATTCGCCTGTGTTATTAATTCCTTCAAGGATGGACTATTATCTTTTCAGCTCTGCCAAGGCACTGGCTGAAGAGGGAGTGAAATTAAGAAAGTTAGTCCCTCTGCCTGATACTGACAACCAGGAAGACACCTGTAAGACTTAGACCACAAGCTATGAGGGAGAGAGACAAGAGACAATTTAATAGAATAATTACTGAGAAATCCTACCTTAGGCATAACTTAAATCTTTCATGCTACAGTTTAAGCTCATTTCCACTTGGGTTAATATATATTTGTAAAAAAGCTTTTGCATCCTCACAATGAAAGATACTAGACCAAAGCCAAGTCTTATTGAGCTGAGAACCAGAGCTCACAGGCTAAACAGAGCTCAAAGACCTTAACCACTTAAAGCAGGAGAGGTGAGAGGAAGAATTAATGTGTGTTCTGTGGCTCCTTTCACTGAGGGATTACAGATTAACTCCCGCTTCTCCAGACTCGGGAACCACAAGGCGAGGGGCTTTTGACCCTGACTGATAACATGGCTGGTTACTGAGATTCCCTACCCACACAAGGGCTTTGTCCAGGAATGAGCTGGCTTCATCGCAAACACTAGCAACTGCAGGAAGCAGCCCAAGACACTTGGTGCCAATAGTATGTCAGCATCCAGCACTTTCTCCTTTCACAGTTTATCTCCAACACAATCGTATTCTGACACCAAGACAGTTTGTTGATTACATAAGCACTTGTCTATGGTGTGCAATCTGATAATCAGACCCACTCTTTGTCCTCAGACAAAAAGACCAATAAATCTCACCCTTTATAAGTACAGGTGAAAGACAAAGCCCTTTACTGGCATTTAGCAAAATGGGTATTTTTCTAGTTTTGTTTTTTTTCCACGACAATGACAATGACAATGACTGCCCATGGTCAGGGACTGTGTGGCAGTCCAGCTGCTGGTGTCAGAGATCTAATGAGCTGGAGCAGAATCTAGTGATAGGGATAGGGCTTGGGAAGGAATGAAATATATCCCATCCCACCCCTGTCAGAACCATGTCTCCAGGCTATCAACTGAAAGTAAGAAAGGACCTCAAGGCCAGTAACATGTTCATTACACAGAGAGATAGAGTGTCTGTATGTGGGCTACAGACTCACCCGAAGCAGAATCCCTCTTCCTCCTGGCAGTACTGAGCCTATCTCCTTCTCCTCAATACTAGCATGTGCTCATGTGTATTCATGTGTGTACTCATGTGTGATTTGTGTGTACACACACACACACACACACGCCAGAGTTCTTAAGAACTTGTGCATGATAGAAAATCCTACCAGAAGAGCTGCTTAGGCACAACCAGGAGCTTTGGGATTGTTCCTCACTTACTAATGAAAGGGTCCCTCTAGCTGGAAGGGCAATTACTGCCAGGTTGGATGAGGTCTGAGAACAATGGCCCCCATCCTGTGTCCATGCCTCTCTCTGCAGAGCGGTTCCATATGGTATGGAGACAGGGCAATATTTAGATGACCCAAGGTTTTCCAAAGATTTTACTTCTCAAAAAAGCAAGTCAGCAGTACAGTTACTCTAGGAGAGGCAAGGTGTGGTCGAATAACTCCTTGACAATATTAATCCATTTAAGGAACATGTATTAAGTGTTTGGTTGGTACTGGGCCCTAATGATGGGACAAAGATGGATCAGATCTAGTTTCTGCTCACTGAGTTTAGTGGGGAGACAAGATAAATAATTACAGTTGAATGTAAATGATCAGTGTTATGTTGGGGTGAACACAACCCAACCTTCACTGAACACAGTCTTAGGGGACAAGTAGGGCTGGGGGAGGAGAGAGGGAGCATCACCCAGGCAAAGGACCATCATGTGCAGAGGCAGACTGTGAGAGGGTGACGTTTGGATGAGGGAAGTGAGGGGAAGATGAAGCTGGGAGATATGAGGCTGGACAAAAAGGCAGGGACCATGTCAGGGAGAGTTTTGAGCTCTGGAAGCCTGCCACACTTTCATACTCACAATAAGGATCTCCCAACACCACCGTGCCTACTACCGTGTTTCCCCGAAAATAAGACCTACTTACAGGTTTCCTTCTGAGTGAAATATAAGGCATCCCCCCCAAAATAAGGCCCCCTCTAGGCTAAACATGAGAGATTTGGTCCACTGATTCTGAAAGAAATGGAGTCACAAGAAATTCACCAGGAAATTCAGGAATTGGATTGTTATGATGATGTTCCAGAAGATGATGACATGATTGTCACTGAATAAATGAATACATTCTTGATACTGTAGGATTCACAGTTTGTCTGGTTTGTGTTGACAACTACCGTACTACCGTACCGTATACAGGTAAAAAATTTCCTTTATTTTCATTTAACAATAAATGTTTACCGTATTCTTCTTCATGGAAAAATAAGACATCTCCTGAAAATGAGACCTAGCGCATCTTTGGGAGCAAAAATTAATATAAGACACTTTCCCCTTATTTCCGGGGAAACAGGGTACCATCCAAATGATGTATATATATGTCCTTGAGTGAAACTTTCTAGAAGTTTTCATCATAATCCAACAATCCCTCCCCACTCAAAAAAAAAAAAAAAAAAAAAAAAAAAAAGGCAGCAGCCCTACTCTAAAAAACCCCTTTTCCCAATACTATCGAGCATCTACTCTTGCCCAGGCAGTGCTCTGCTCCAGTCCTAAACAGGCAGCAAGCTTGACAAATCTGGGCCTCCTTGTCTATGCCACGCAGCCTTGCCGGAGCTGGATCCCCCAAGGGGAAGTTACACACAGAGGGGAGGAAGAGAAGGACAGAGGATACTACACTTTCAGGCCCATGGAGGGCTCAGGTAACTAGCTAGTTTAAGGAAAGTTTTCCCTCTCCTCCTCTAAGGAAGGGGATTTTCATCATCATTAAAATGTTGATTTTTCAAAAGGGGCAAAAAAGACAATTGGTATCCTCTGGTGGCATAGGTTATTCTCAGGGAAGGGGGAAAAAACAGTAGACCCCAAAAAAGAGAAAGAACCTCAACGTCATTAGCTGGAACAACAAAAGACTTGAGAGACTAGACACCTTGGCAGGCGGAGGCCTGCAACAAAAGGCTCACCTGAGTTAGGCAGCAAACACTGGCATCAAACCCAGGAATGACCCTCTGAACCCCATATCTGGGCCCTCCCACCATGGCAGGCAGGCCCTTCCCCAGCTTCCTCCAACCAAGATTGTTTCGGAGTTTCTCAAGAACTTGATTCCTCCTGTTTCACTCATATGTAAAAGTCGGCCTCTAAATGAAGGCACAAAGTCTTCATGTATCCCAGCCCCAAATTCTGAAAGGATTCTGGAAACACTCATGTTCCCCCATCACCTGTTACTACATATTTTTGACCATTCTTGTGATTTCACCACAGCCTGTGACCACCACAGAGCATAACATAACTCATCCCAGGGGAGAGCAGGCACAAAAGGCTCTCCGAATAGTCATGAGTCAGAACTCTTAAGGGGGCCTCTCCGCCAAGAGCTCATTTGAGCCTCCCACAAGCATATTTAAGATCTCGGTTTCCCAGACTGGAAAATGGGGCCAATGCTAGCCTGCTGACAAGGTGGCTGAGTACAGTACCAGCCTAGGACAAGGATAAGGACATTTCAACCTTGGCCAGGCTATGCTCATACCCGCACTGGATTGCCCTTCTCTTTCCTCGGTGATGGTGTGCTTCCTACAAACTCAACTGATGTTTCACATAGGGCTGTTTTCCTCAGGACAGAGAAGCATCACCAGAAAGCTAAGAAACCCCGAACCTCTCCTTCTAAGAAGCTGAAATCTTCACCTCTTGACAAGGGATCCTAAGGGAAATCAAACTGAAGGAATTTGAGCCCAGAAGCACCATCCTGCTCCTTGACTCCTACTGCCCAGTCACCAGGAAGGGTAGGGATTACAAGAAAGGGAAAAGTTTGGGAAAACTGGGACAGATTGTTCCACTGTTCTCCCTGGATCTCCAATGACCAGAGTGGCCCAAATGGAGTGGCTGACTTTGTAAAGAGCCAACTGCTGGGTCCAACGTGCACCAGCCTTAACTGCTGATAAGACCTAACTTTCCCTAATGAGCCTATATACCAATGACCCAAAAGCTCCTGCCCCAGTGGCCATTGCTGCCACCTCCAGGGCCCTTACCTCTGTGCAGAAGGGAGTAAGCTGTGGATGGATTACGGGCTGGACATACATGTGAAAAGTAGACTCAATCTCCATAGTCCGGCCATTTAGCTTCAGGATGGGGAACTCGATGATTTCCTGGAATGGCAAATACACATTAGAAGTGTTTGTTTGTTTTTAAATCAACCACCCTAATATATAAAAAGCCAGGGGCTGTCACGACCAACCGAAACAACTGGATGGACGACTGAACTCAGGCTGGGTGGGGTGACGAGGCCAGCAGGGGGGTTAGTGAGGGATGATTGAAGAGCAGGCTGTCTGGGCCAAACAGGCTGGCAGAGGGGCGATTGGGGATGACCAGGCTGGAAGGAGGCAGTTTAGGGGCCATTAGGCCAGCAGGGGGGGGGGCAGTTAGGAATGACCAGGCCAGCAGGGGTGGGGGGGGCCAAGGGGCATGTAGGTTGGTGCGGGGGCAGGGGGGCAGCTTGGGGCAACCAGGCTGCGCAGAGGAGGGGGGGCAGTTGGGGGCAACCAGGCCAGCAGGGGGACACTTGGGAGTTACCAGGCCAGCAGGGGGCAGTTAGGGGTGATCAGGTAGGCAGGCAGGCAGGCAGTTGAGCAGTTAGGAGCCAGCAGTCCCGGACTGTGAGAGGGATGTCCTAGATTGGAGAGGATGCAGGCTGGGTTGAGGGGACCCCCACCCTCCATGCACGAATTTCATGCACTGGGCCTCTAGTTTCAAATAATAACTCAGAGTTAAGAATGAGGGAGTGTTTTGAACTCATTACCTCCTGCTAGGCCAAACCAAGACTGAGATGATGCAAACTCAGTCAAGTCCTAACCCTCCCACTGTGAATACGCTCACAAGTTCCAGGGACTGGACACATGACCCATACCTGTTGTCTCTGGAAAGGAGAAGGTAGACACTAGAACAATCTGCCCCAGTTTCCCCAAGTGGTTCTCTAGCAAGTGGTTCACTGGAACTCCTAAAAGGGGGCCTTTACTTCCCCTGAGCCAGGTCCCTACCCTGGAAGGGGCCTGAATGTCCAGCCATCAGACCGATGCACAGGCTCCTATATATGAAGTTTAAACAGAGCTGAGGAGTTTTATTAGTTTTTACAAAAACAATAACAACAAAACATAATAAAGCCAAAGGGGATAGTAAAAAGGCAAAAACTGAGTAAGAGTAATAAGAGCTACTGCCTCCCACCTTTCTTTCAGCAAGCCCTCCCCGTAGGCAGCTCGCCCACCCCAAATCGCTTAACCAGCCCTTCCCAGTCCACTGGAACGTAATGGAAGAGAAGGAGGAGTGACAATTTGTTTGGTGTCTCCAAGATTAATTTGTCTCCGTTATTTAATAGAGATGCACAGCACCAAGGTCCTGGTGTGCAAACAGGCTTGCAGAAGGCTGGCTGTGCAGCAAGCCTCATACATCGCTCCTGGGAAGGGAGGAATGCACCGGAGGGGGGAGAGGGCAGGAGAGAGCACACACGCACCAGAGAGAAGAGGGAAGGCGCACAGAGAGAATAAAAAAAATTATTGCTTTTTAATATTCAAAAACAGTTTGCAAAATTTAATCAAAGCAGAGGAAAAGCTAACATTTTTACCACTTTGACATTTTTATTAGCGCTTTCATAAATTTTTAAAACATGAATGGAATTAGTTTACAACACAAAAAAACTGCCCTGAAAACATCTGGAAGAGACAAATAGGAAATAATAAAAAAATAAATAAAAGCAAAATCCTCCGAGTAAAATTAGCATGTGGAAAAGGCCTCCACTACAGAGAGCAAGACAGCGAGAGCGAGAGTGCGCGAGACAGAGAAAGAGAGAGAGAGAGAGAGAAAGAGAGAGAGAGAGATATATATCTGCCCACCCAGTGGTCCCAGCAGTCAGTTCGGGAGCATCCCTATCCCAAGTCCCCCATTCTGGAGAGAACCTTTCCAGTATCACTAAAATCAAGGCAAATTGGTTCTGTCCAGGGACAGCCTGAAGAAGCAACAGTGAAATGGTTGAACCTGGTAACACTCAGGAAACAAGCACAAGGAAAGACAGGAGAAATGGCAATCTCCAGGGTCGCCAGATATCCTTCCTCCAGCCCCCTAAACATACTCATTATTATCTGGCTTATTTCTAAAGCACCCATTTTTATCCAAAATGGGTGCTTTAGAAATACAGCAGAAATGCTTCATACAGCAGAAATGAAGACCAAACCAAGCCAGTCAGATTTCATGTTGGAGAAACTAAAACAGTTCTGGTTGCCTGGTCTCTCTGGGGTGATCCCCAAAGATGGGAAAACTGACAGGAGCCCCTCAAAATAGGAAAGAAGGGAGGCTGCAAGGCTGAAGCCAAAGGGGGACAGAGAGGAGGCCCAGGCTGCTGCTTAGACTGGGTGATGCTTCTCTCACATGTTCCCCAATTCCCTGGCCTCTCATTCTCCACAATGCACTACGAAACTGGCCAGGTGGAAGAGTGTTGTGCTAAAAAACAAAGTTGAGGCGCGCGCGCGCACACACACACACTCACACACACACACACACACAACATACATATTGGTCCCTCTGAAAACTCAGATCTCCAAAGCCTCCAAGAGCAACTCTGGGGTGGGGCGCATCTGAGTCAGGCTTATCTGGTTCCCAAATTTCTAATGTATCTTTCATCTCCCAGTAAGCAGAGAAATACTTCCCCAAGAAAGAGCTCCATAGCCTGGTGAGTTTGACTGCCCTGGTGTCTCAGGAAACAAATACAGCCAGCTCCTCCCTAACAATGTTAGCTGGACCCACAATGAAATTTAACCTGTGACACAACTGTACTTTTCATTTAAACTTTCATTTTGAGAGAAGCAGTATTTGGAGACCTGCAGTTTGTCCTGCTAATAAAGACAAGTGCTGGGACCTTTAAAGATGTCATTCATCTTTGGCTTTTATTAAATTCAATTTTCTTAAGCCCGTGATACATTATGAAATTAGGGGTTGACATTCCTCTGGAAACAAAAATATATATATCAAACACAAAGAGGAAAAAACCCTCTATTACCAAGAATTTATGGCTTAAAGTTTATCTCTTTTCGTTTTTTTACAAGCACGTGGCTTGTTTTAGATATCTGAAATGTTATTATGGATCTAAATTTCATTAGTATTTATTATAAAACAGTAAGCGCTTCAGCTCTTGTTCTGACCAGCGAGCACCGAGTCAATATCCCCAGTAGATTCTCTGAAAACTTGGCCTGCGGATTTCCCCATTGCAGCTCTGTCTTCAAACTTTCCTGCTGCTGGCTTCTTCACCCCTGGGGAAAGAGAGCCAACTGAAGTGCTTACACTTGTTATCACCCTCCTAGAGAGGAGGAAAAAGTCAGCCTCAGCTCCATGAAAAAAGAGGGGTAACTCACAGAGGTTACCCCAAAATTATAGGTTGATCACATTAATTTCAAGAGCTTATGAAGATGTGCTTAAGTGCCAGCTTGAAAAGTTACTTAAAACTTACTCCTTCCCCTTCCCCTTTCCCCTCACTCAATTTCATCATTCCCTTAGAAAGATGAAAAATGATGAAAGAAAGAAGTTTTGTTGTTTTGTTTTTGTTTTTTAAGGAATATTGAGTATCTGCTTGAATAAAGGTAGTGCCAGGAAAGAAAGAAGAACCACTTTGCACTTACCAGCCCTCTTCCTCCCCTATTAATAGTTTCACAATTCCTTACATTTGCATTCAACTAAACGGCCTGAACATCGACTGTGTGCAAGACACTACAGGTGTTGGAGCGGGATTTAGAATTAGGATGTAGTCTCTGCTTTGGAGAAGTCCGCAGACTAATGAGCAGGACAGATACATGGACAAATAATGAATAATGCACTAAGATAGGTATCTTAGTGTCCGACTTTTCAGTTTACAGTGTGCTTTTAAATATATTTTTCTTATTTTACCCTTATTAATTTTGGAAGATAGGTCATATCATCATCATGAGGTCATACATCAATACTATTAAACATCTACTATTTACCAGGCAGGGGCTAGGTGTGGACACAGGTAAATACAGTGAGATGTGGCCCCTCTCTATGAGGTGCTCAGAGTCTGGGCATCCTTGGAGAGGTGGGGAAAATGAAATCATTTCGTTCCTTCCATCTATTGTTTACTATGTGGCAGACACTGCTAAATGTTAACAGGAATGATCTCACAGAATCCCCCTAACTACTCATGAAGTGGGAATCATTATTATCCCTATTTTACAAATAAACGAAGGCCCAAAAAGAAGCTCTCACTTGCTCAAGTTTTATTGCTAGTTAGGGACAGAGCTAGAACTACAAATGGAGAAAATGAGACTTAAAGAGAATAGGACTAACAACTTTCAAAATTTGAAGGGCCAAGAAAGATTTGATTCTTTTAGTCTTTAGGGAGCTCAGTCTATTATCTCCTAGGAAGAGAGATGACTCTCAAGTTACCCGAGCAATAAACGTGGACTATCCAGGAAGAAAGTCCTAGCGGACTGCTACCAAAGAGCGTCCACTATGGCTGCCATGACACAGATGATGGCATGTTCCAAGCTCGGGGAGGGCAGGAACCATGATGAAAGAAAGAAGTCTGTTAGATGAAAGATATTCAGTTTGCATCTCTAGCACCCAGCTCCATTCTAGCATGCAAACTTCACTCCCAACTTTTTTGTTTGTTTTTCTTGTGTGGTTTTTTGTTGTTGTTTGTTCTTTTAATCCTCACCTGAGGGTATTTATTTTTCCATTGATTTTTAGGGAAAGTAGAAGAGAGAAAGACAGAGATAAATAATGATATAAGAGAAACACATTGATGGTTGCTTCTTTCATGTGTCCTAACCAAGGCTGTGCCAAGGAGGATCCTGCAACTGAGGTACATGCCCTTGATCAGAATTGAACGCGGGACCCTTCAGTCCACAAGTCGACGTTCTATCCACTTAGCCAAACCAGCTAGGGCCACTCTCAACTTTTGATGAGTAAACATATGTAGGAGCTGATAAATGGCAAGACAGAAGCCAAGCTCATGGCTCTAACTGAAAACACTCTGCTTTGACCAAGCTCTCTGTAGGACCAGAGTGGTGATCTACCTAAGGTGACAAAGATGGTAAGCCAGAATTCAAACCCCAACATGGAATGCTCCAAAGCACTTTCTATCTGATCC